TGGTAACCATAAGTTTGCTTTCTATGTCTGTGAGTCTGTTTCTGTTTTACAAATAAGTTCATTTGTGTTATATTTTATTTTTTTTTTATTTTTTATTTTTTATAAATTTATTTATTTATTTTTGGCTGTGTTGGGTCTTCGTTTCTGTGTGAGGGCTTTCTCTAGTTGTGGCAAGTGGGGGCCACTCTTCATCGCGGTGCGCGGGCCTCTCACTGTCGCGGCCTCTCTTGTTGCGGAGCACAGGCTCCAGACGCGCAGGCTCAGCAGTTGTGGCTCACGGGCCCAGCTGCTCCGTGGCATGTGGGACCTTCCCAGACCAGGGCTCGAACCCGTATCCCCTGCATTGGCAGGCAGATTCTCAACCACTGCGCCATCAGGGAAGCCCCTGTGTTATATTTTAGATTCCACATTTAAGTCATATAGTATTTGTCTTTGTCTGCCTGGCTTACTTCCCTTAGTATGATAATCTCTAGGTCCATCCATGTTGCTGCAAATGGCATTCTTTCTTTCTTTTTTATGGCTGAGTAATATTCTATTGTATATATATTACCACATCTTCTTTATCCATTTATCTGTCAATGGAGACTTAGGTTGCTTCCATGTCTTGGCTACTGTAAATAGTTCTGCAATGAACAGTGGAGTGCAAGTATCTTTTCGAATTAGAGTTTTTGTTTTTCTGGATATATGCCCAGGAGTGGGATTGCTGGGTCATATGGTAGCTCTATTTTTAGTTTTTAAAGGAACCTCCATACTGTTCTCCATAGTGGCTGCACTAATTTACATTCCCACCAACAGTGTAGGAGGGTTCTTTTTTTCTCCACACCCTCTCCAGCATTTGTTATTTGTAGACTTTTTGATGATGGCCATTCTGACTGGTGTGAGGTGATAACTCATTGTAGTTCTGATTTGCATTTCTCTAATAATTAGTGATGCACTAATAAAAAGTGAGCATCTTTTTATGTGCCTGTTGGCCATCTATATGTCTTCTTTAGATAAATGTCTCTTCTGATCTTCTGCCCATTTTTGAATTGGGTTGTTTGGGTTTTTTGATATTGAGTTGTAGGAGCTGTCTGTATATTTTAGAAATTAATCCCTTGTTGGTCACATCATTTACAAATAGTTTCTCCCATTCTGTATGTTGTCTTTTCATTTTGTTTATGGTTTCCTTTGCTGTGCAAAAGCCTGTAAGTTTGATTAGGTCCCATTTGTTTATTTTTGCACACTAAAGAATGTTTTGCTTGGCTTTTTATAAGCTGGAAAACTCTATATGGTATGTCCAGGTCTTCTATTTTTGGCAATATGGGTGAGTATAGAACTGGAAAACTCTCCCAGTTTTCAAAACACTTGATACTGCTGGATAAAATATAATGAACATTTTTTTTAATGAACTCTTGATCTCTTAAGAAAGTAAGGGAAATACCCTGAGACCATCCCTCTTTTTCCACAAAACAGACAACAGCAGCAACAACAATGGCAGCAACAGAGGGAACTTACAACAAACTGATACTGAGTGTGGTTTGCTTTTGGTTTGGTTTTTGCCAGCATCAGTAATCTAGGTGCTTGGTTTCAATGGCTACATGCCATCATGGGAGAAAGCTTTGGATCTGTTGGAGGTAGGATACTGGGGTGGAGGGCCCCTACCTCCAAACACACACAAAGCCAGGGCCTGGTCTATGTCTTAATCTTCCCTGAGCATTTATAACCATAAGTATGCTTTTACACAGGTTTGAGGTTCAAGTTTACATTAGCCCCCTTTTCTGGGAATGTCTAAGCCAAAAAATGAACATAAACTAACATAAAGTGATTTGTGGTGGGTAATACCTCTGGATTTCTTGGGAGAAGCAAAGTAAAATCTCTTCAGAGAAAACATTTTCACCCAGAACTTACAGGATTTTTACAGAAAACACCCTGCTAAGAGTGAGCTCACTATTTAAAATGAAAACCCATTCCTTCCTCACCCCCTTCAGCCCCAAACATGAGCAAGGGCCAGTGAACCAAAATCCAGCAATATGGCACTTAAGAATTTCAAATAATATAGTTATCAGATGGAGACCATAAAGTAAAGATGTTTAAAATGCTTACAAACATAAAAGGAATGGAAACATCTGGGAAAAGAAGACTATGTTAAAGATACAAGACTGGTTTGAATTTTAGAAAAAGACTTCCATATATGGAAAAATGTAGCTATTGATATTCAAAATGTAAGGGTCAGAAGTTAAATGGCAAGTTTGACAGTTGAAGAGAAAATTGGTGAACTAGAAGATAGACTGGAGGAAATTATACAGAATTCAGCAGACAGGGATAAGGTATGAGGGAGGTTAAGAGAGATAGAGGAAAGATTAAGGCTCCAACTTATTTCTAATAGGAATTCTAGAAGGAGAAATGGGAGGACATAGAGGAAGAGGAAATATGTGAAAAGAAAATAGCTGAGAATTTTTCAGTAATGGTGACAGACATACACCTTCAGATTCAGGAATCATTAAGTCTCAAGCAAGCTAAACGAAAAGAAATAGTATTTCCAAGATTTCAGTTCAGTCTGTTGGACGTGAAATACATGTTTGTTGTTGTTGTTAACCCCTTCCTCTGTATTCCATTATAATAATTGGAAAGAAAAACATTTTCTAAGACTGGCTACTCACCTATTCAACCTAGAGCGAAGCACTGAGTATACTCATAGGCTGAAGGGAACAGAGTCTCAAATGAAGCCTTAAGGTGTGGGATTAAGAACACAGATAAGGGAGAGGGCCCCTGACACTGAAGGTAAGAAGTGAAGCTGGGTTATCATGTTGGTGAGAAAGGCAGGAAATTTCTTGTTGAAGTAAAGGGATAAAACTGAGAGAGTTGGGAAGGAACTGTGTAAAGAGCTTGGGAAGACTGATGAGGCTCTTCTGTAATTATTGAGGGGGATGAGAGAGGGAGAAGATCAAACAAAAGTAAAATAATTTTCAGTATCTTGGTTGCCAATGAAGTGTTGGGAAAATGTTTATTACTGACATTTCTGATGTGTGCCTTTGTTATTAACATTGTTCTGGAATTGCATGTCAAGTGATTAGCAAAGAAAAATAAATGCAAGTATCAGATAAAAGGAAAACACATGTATTCACAGATTATAACTAGACAAACTGATTCTAAAGTTAAAGAAAAAACTTTTAAGGAATAGCTAGAGAAACAAGGAATAAGAAGGCCAAGGAAGGAAGCGGAGGACTGCTGGTAAATTACAATAATTTAAACATTTTAGAACTGTCACATAAATAGATAAATCAGTTGAACAAAGTAGATAGACCCATGGAGAAGTGATATTTTGAATTAGTGGAGGAAGCAATGCCCTTATTCAACCTGTGGTACTGGGGGGGAAAAAACGCACTGGAATCCTATGTTATTATTTATACTTAAGCAAATTCCAGATTAGTTGAAAATTCAAATTTGAAAAATGATACTATAAAAATAATAGAGAAAAATCTTTGAAAAAAATTTTGAAGAGGGAAATGCAGTTTCAAGCAAAACACCAAATCCAAAACCACAGAAGAAAAGATTAATTTGGATACATACAAATAAGACATTTCTGTACAGAGAAATGCTATAAGCAATATTTAAAATATTGATAAATTGGGAAACAATTTCTGAAAGAGCAAAGCTCTTTCTTAATATGTAAAATGCTGTTAAAAATCAACACAGTAGAAAACTGTGTGAAGGACATAAACAGGCAATTCACAGAGAAAAATAGATGTCAAACATTTGTAAAGATTCCTAACTCCATTCATAATCAAATAAATGCCAGTTAAAATAATAATAAAAAAATTTAAATCTCAGATTGGCAAAGATCATCTTCGACAAAGACGTCATGAAGTAGGCATCTTATTTGTTCTTGTTGAGTGTTAATTGGTAAAACCTTTTGGAAGGTATTTTAGTATTATCTACCAAAATTTAAGTGTTATAGGCCCAGCAACTCTATACCAATAAACTTTTTTAAAAAAAAATTAGTAAGGATGCTTATTATCTCCTAAAGATAGGAGACAAGATACGAAACAAATGTCCAAACACAGGCGACCAATTAAGATGATACCCTCCTACAATTGAGTTTATGCAACAGTGGAAGAGAATGTGAAGTATTCACTGATAATAAAATGTGTATTGGATGCTTAATTACGTGCCAGGAACTGTTCTAGGTACTGGGAGTATAGCTGTAAACAAAACGACAAAAATCCTTGCCCTCATGGAGCTCACATCCCATTGAGGGGAGGCAGATAACAGCAAGATGCAGAAAAGGGTGAACAGGATGCTCATCAGTGTTATCAAGAAAAGGGAGTGGAGACACGTACACACAAATGTTTGTCTATGCACAGAAAACCTCTGGTAGGTAGTAAATGGAAGTGACTGCTACTGGAGAGGAGGACTGGAGGTCTGGAGGGAACTTTAGTTTCCTGTGGAAAAAAAAAAATTTTTTTAACCACATATGTATATTAATTAAAAAGCGCGGGGGTGGGGGAGTAAAGGTGGAGAACACCACTACAAGTCTTTAAAACACTGCCGGTTAAGTCCTCCGAACCTGAGGCTCAGCTGCTTCGGTTGCAGCGCGTGGCAGCAGGTTCCCGCCGCGGACATCAGGCAAGTCGGCTTGGGACTGGAATCATGGGCGGGGCTCGGGCCGCAGAGAAATGAGTTCCTGGAGACGAGCCACGTGTGGAGAGCCGTCTTGGGAAAAGCACAAACCAGAAACAAGATATACAAGACGTAAGTAAATGCTGACGTTATACTACACGGTGGCTCGGACAGCCAGGTCAGAAGTCTGCGTAGAACCTCGCACTTCACCAGAGGGCGGCCGCACTCTGCGCCTGCGCCAAACGGCAGCGCTTTTGCCGGCGCGCCCGCGGGGTGGCGCTGTCACGTCCGGCTAGCTTTCCAGGGGCCCGCAAGACCGAAGGAGCACCGCCTTTTCCGGGTGGAGAACTGGAAAGAGAATCACTTCCCGTGGCGGGGCTACGTCACTTCCTCTTAAGCGCGGCGTCTGGCCGGGGCGTCCTCACGAGCGTTCAACATGCGGATTGAGAAGTGTTATTTCTGTTCGGGTCCTATTTACCCAGGCCACGGCATGATGTTCGTTCGCAACGATTGCAAGGTGAGACGGCCGGGAGTAGCGCGCGCTCCGCTGCGCTCCCGCGGGGCTGAAGCCGCGCCCGCTCGGCGCGGTGTTCCTCTGCACCTGCGTGGGGTTTGGTCTAGGATTTCGGCTTGTGGGGCTGGTTTTGCTAGCGGCTCCGACCTCGACCTCCCTCTTGGGGAGGTTTCTCCTGCCGGCGTCACGACCGGAGCTGGTCACTAGGCCGCCCTTTGGGCGAGGCTGGCTGCGATGTGGTTGAGGAGCGATTCAAGCCAGCGCCGACGGGGAAGCTGGGAGTCTGTTTGCCCACTTTTGCACGTGGGCCACGTTCTTCAGTTCGGTAAACTTTGTTGAACGCATGCCGGGTCAAGCATCATTGCTGAGGCCCGCGTCTGTACAGATGAGTAAGATTTGGGGTCGGCCATAGTTTGTAGAGGTTGATAGAAATGTTGCATATGGCTTAATAGTACAGTTATGAAGCTGTTGGAGGGGTTTTGGAGGGGTCGTCTGTAGAAAGGCACAGAAATGAAGTGACGTTTATCCTGGATCTTGCGTTTTGCTTAAGAACGTGAGGAGAAGGCAGTCTAGGTGGAAGGAAAACGAACAGTTTGAGCAAAGGCACAGAGGGGAGCAGCTACTTCTCTGTTTAGGGAAGTGACGGATTGCAGATGGTTATAGAGGCTTGGGGTAGGGCTATAATGAAGTACGGTTTCCACTGAATGTGTATCACTTTTTCATCATCATGAAGTCGAACGATCATAAGTTGGGGACCGTCTGTATAAGGCCTCTTTGTGAAAGACTTTATGAGTGATACATGAATTTGCCTTTCATACCGGAATGGATCTCATTCCTCTGTTTAACACATTGTTTCTCAGAATTAGACCTCTCTTGTATTTGCTTCTGAATCACTGGACACTTGTAGAAAATACTGATTCCTGGTTTCCACTAGATCTACTGAATTGGAATCTCTGGGGAGAGAGGAAGAGGAGCTAGGAATCTGTATTCAGTGAGGCGATTTTTTTTTTTTTTTTTTTGCCGTATCTGGGCCTCTCACTGCTGTGGCCTCTCCCATTGTGGAGCACAGGCTCCGGACGAGCAGGCTCAACGGCATGGCTCACGGGCCCAGCCGCTCCACGGCACGTGGGATCCTCCCAGACCGGGGCACGAACCCGTATCCCCTGCATCGGCAGGCGGACTCTCAACCACTGCGCCACCAGGGAAGCCCCAGTGAGGCGATTTTGACATGCTGAAGAACTACAGTTCCTACTTCATCACCTTATATCCGTATTCTACATGAAAGATATTGACCTCACTAAATTAGGAGTAAGGGGTCTTGCCAAAAGTGTGGGACCAAAGCTATGTTTGGAAACTTGAAAGAGCATGTAAAGATTTTT